AGAGGAGACCTACGTGGACATGCTGCGCTCCACGGTGGGTATAGAGTTGAAAAAGCTGGAGGTGACAGACGTCCTGCAAACTGCCCTCTTTCACGTGAACGATTCGGCTAAAATGGCCAGTAAAAGGGTGAGTATGTTTAAAAAGTTTTGTTCATTATGTTGTGACTTCTTCCCTGTGTGTACGCCTGCAAATGTCCCCTTTTTGTCTGGAGGTTGTAGACTTGTTTTTAATCTCTGCCTGTCGTTGATCTGCGTCCAACCCTAATCTATGTCTCAACAGCCTGTCGTGACCTGGTTTAAAGCAGATATCGGGAGAGTGAGCTCAGATGAACGGTGATGCGCTGCTACACCAGTCGTGATTTTGACAATATGATGGAGCTATGTTAATTACTTGCATAAATTTGCGCGGTGGAAGCCCTAGTCACATCAAATTGTAGGTAGTTTATATCGGGTCTCACCTTGACCCCTTGGCCACTGATTTTGTTCACTTGATCGCTTTGCGCTGTGTTAGCGATTGCTCAGTTGTGACCGCCTACCATCAGAAGATGCAGTTGATCTGCTCTTAGACGCCAAGCAGACGAGTGTGCACCAGTCAACTGTCTTCCGCTGCAACGTCATTAGTGGCAGTCAACTTCGGGGACTCATCGATGTGAAATTCATTTGCATCTTCATCAAATTGTTGTCGCAGTGGGTTCAGTTATTCGGTAAAACCCTTACCTCTGTGATCTTAAGGCCCGATCCCTAAGGCGAAGATAACTGAGAGGCCAGGTGGAAGTAATAATGGTAGAGATTTATAGTAGGCCCATCTGAGAGAAGGTATAACTAATGAAAAATAACTACTTTCAAAATTTCAGTAGGTCTAGTTTCCGCATATCCAAACATCTCCCTGATTATGTTAACCAATATGAGTTGTTCTAATAGTTTTCTTAGTCTATAAGCTTTCTTTTCAGTCTTTTTTGTCCTTTCTGCAATCTTTTTACCTGCATTTCAAGTTCAGTAAACAGTTACAAGCAGCTTTGGTTTCCTTCTTAGTGCGCAGTTCTCATGCATTAACCCTGTGACCACGAATTCTGTAAGACACTTGGGCTGGGGGATTTTTTGCCTTTGGGTAGTCCTTTGGTAAATCTCTGCGTGAATAGTGTATTATGTAGAGAGACAATGGGGAATAGGTAGGAGGAAGTTGACTGTCAGACGCGCGTAGGTTTGCACCCGAGCAGGGCAGTGTCCGAAGTGTCTGAGCGTGGCAGTCATCGCAGCGGTCAGAACGGTCTTGTGTGAATCACCCTTGAATGTGATTTGACACACCGCAGGGTAGATGGTGTCGAGCTAAAAAGCTAAACAGCCCATTTACGCGTGCCACACACGCGCCTGTTCAGCGCATGATGAACCAAGATTTCACACAGAAAAGAGGGACCGGCTCGGACCCCAGTTGCGTGGGAGTGCCATTGGATGTCGTATTAAGGCGGATCCATTTCGTCCCAGTTTTCGGGACAGAATTATCCCTGCTTTCAACCCATGGCTTTTAGCATATCATGATGGGATCTACAAGTCTAGCATGTGCAGTAAGGCCGATTGCTCTAAACAACGCATAATCCCTGCAGTCATCTTTCTTTTACGACCCTTGATTATAGACCCCTCCCCCTGCGCATTCTTCTCTTGTCCACACCTTATTTGGCAGTTTTTTTGTCGTGTCTTCTAGGGGCCCATAACTACAGTGGAAGACGCCGCCGCCAGCCTCTCCAGGTACTTAATCACAACCGTCTCCCAGGAGTCGGAACTGCTAGCCCTGGCGGAGAAAGCCTACCTCTCCTTCCTTCGCGCCTACGCCAGCTTCTCCGGCCCGATGCGAGCCCACTT